ATTTACTTATTCACGTTCGCCTACGGGCTGTCATTCGGACCTATTGGATGGGTATTACCGTCTGAGGTGTTTCCCCTCAGCGTGCGCTCCCGTGGCGTAGCGTTGTCTACCGCCAGCAATTGGGCGAATAACTTCTTGATTGGGCTAGTAACGCCCCCGCTTATTGCGTTGTCCGCGCAGGGAACATTTACGTTGTTCGCGGCGGCTTGCTTTGGGGGGTATATATGGTGTACTTATTGGGTTCCAGAGACTAGAGGTGTTGGACTGGAAGAGATGGATGCGGTGTTTAGGAAGGATGGAGCGAGTGATGCTGGGAGGGAAGAAGGCGAGATGCGGAGACAGATTGAGGAAGAGCTGGGATTGGGTAGACTTCTTGAAGAGGCTGGCCGTGCATAGCATACATCTCTCTATAGTATATTGATCTAAGTAATGGAATTATGAGTAATGGAAGACTTCAAAGTAGAACACAAGTGTGACCTTGTCACTTCGCGCACTCGTTCAACGTTCAACCACGACCTACCACGACGTTTGAGCTTGGGGCGAAGGTATGCTCGAGTCTTTTCATCCTTCGTACATTAACCTTTCCATCACGTTCATCGTTATTTCAGAACTAATCGAATATAATAGTAATTACGCGTAAACAACACGTTGCATCTCCTCTACGCGCTAGCGCCAGTCGCCACGATTCGCGCGTCCTTGTCCGCCTCAGTGGTGCATGTAACGGATGTTCCTGCACTGTTCACCAATGGCAGAGCAAAGCACTGCGTTCCACCAGCGCATTGGGTCGACGTGAACTTGCCCTCGACGCATTGAGCAAATGCGCCATTGACGCATGCTGATTCCCCAGCGGTGCATGCGGAATCGGCCGTGAGAGTGGAGAATTTCTGGTTGAGCGCGATCGCGTCCAAGCCATTCTGCTGGGCAAAGCCAGAGGAGGAGGTTGAAGTCGAGGTCGAAGTGGCGGGGCTAGTCGAATCGGTGACAGTCGAGCTGGTGTTGTCTCCGACACTACCATTTCCCGCAGCTGCTCCGCTGCCTGTGTTGTCGACTGGCGTGTTGTCTGTGCCATTACCGTTGCTTGCGGTGCCGCTCGAAGCCGCACCCGCGCCCGGATCATCGACGAGTGTGTTTAGTTGTACGCCATCCGGCACTGGGCCATCAGTCTTAGCCGGACAGCTTCCTGCGGGATTCACTTCCGTCAACCCGAGGGGTACGTTGCCCGTCTGGTCCCCGCTGAACTTCGTAAATCACTCCCTTCAAACTGGCAGTGAAAGAGGCCGTTCAACTCGGCGTTCTTCGGCGCAGTCTGGCAATACGGGACTTGGAGGGAATCGGGCTATGATCGCAAGTTCAATTAACTATGCAGACGAGATCAAGATTTGAGAACTTACAGCATTCCGCGGCTGCTGCACGAAGAGTTGTGCGAGCCGGATCATCTCTGCATCGCCACCCAAGCTTTTGGCGAGGTCGATCATAGAGTCCGCAGCATTTTGTTGGTCACAGTTACCCCCTGCTGCGAGCAGAGATGTGAATGCGGTCTGCGAGATGGGTTGCATTGAGCTGCGCCACCTGCGGCGATACATGCAGCTTCCCACTTGGCCGTAGACTCGGAGATGACCTGCGCGATGCGCTTTTGCATCCGGAGTGGGGCGGCCGAAGCGAGGGGGATAAGAAGAAGGGCGGCAAGGCTGATTTGGACCATGATGTCAAGAGATGCGCACGATTTGACTAGAAGAGTGAAGGAAAGTGTATGAGAGCGCCTGGCTCTGCGAAAACGATCAACGAAGGGGGATTCGAGAAGAGGATGAACGTGAGGATGGGGATTATTCTCCCTGGCGTAGCAGAGACTTTATAGGCGGAGGAACCGGTTGCCTCGGCAGGCAAGCTCCAATCATCATGATTGTGGCCCCACCGAGCATGTCGCAGAACGGTCTTGCTGAATCACGAAACGAATATCACACTGTTTGCTTCACGCCCAAACACTTACCTGGACGCGTGATCACGGAATCCTCGAGGATGTTCATCAAGATCAGTCGCGATCCAAGTGTTGAGACGCATATGGGAGCGTGTGTTACCATCATGGTGAAGTGCGTCAACATCTCAACGCTCGAACTGCGCATGAGGCCGTGTATAGGTCAATATCTGCTAGACGCGATTGGAATCATTGAATGTAAGTCCTATGACATCGTACTTAGGCTCTAGGTACTAATCTAGTTTGGTAGCGTGCTATCATATTTCTTACCCACAAGGTTACGCAACAACGCGATCGAGGAACTGGTCAATGAAACGTTGATGCCGGCGTCGACCATACCCATCGGACGATCGCCAATTCAACTTTGTTACTTGATGCTGTCAACTGGGGTAGTATTCGTGTGGTCGGATTGCTGGGCTGGAAGAACTGTCGAGGCTCGTCGCAACTGCCAAGTCTCCCGGGCAGCATGATAATGTGAGGACATCATCAACCGAAGTTGACAGGCCTTCGTATGTTGGATACCGCTTGAATGAACTTGAAATCGTGGTATATGATACTAACTTGAACCCTTTTCGGTGCTCTCCGAAGGCTAGACTTGAGCGGCTCCAGGAAACGTCCGCATTTTTAGTGCCACATACAATACAAGTCCGGGACGAGAACGGTTGGTTGCTTGGGTGACACCGCGGGCGCTGGTTCACCGAATCGAGACGGAGAACACGGAACACACCAATCATTTGTTATTACTGGTGTTCGAAATCGTATCCAGTGGCTTACTTAGATTCAATCGTAGATATCATTAGAATCAAGGCTTGCAACTCAATGTTCGAGGGCTTGTCCATGGGTTTACGTAGACTCAACGATTGCCGGTTGAGATGCTCTATTGTAACCCCCTGATATAACTCTTCCAAATCTATCTACTCTATACTTGGCTGGCGATTCTAAGGAGAAGGGGCGTCTCAGGAAAAGGGAAGCGATATCACACTTTCCCACATCTCATGCCCTATCCCAGATACTTCCCGAAACATTCGTCACCCCTCAATACCTCTACCTCGTCGGGCAAAACTCCTACCACTACCTCAGCACTTCCATCCAGCGTCTTAGGGAAAACCCAGTTCCCGCCCCTTCCCTCGCCGGGGTTTCTATAGCTAACAAGTGGTCCAAACGCTTTTCCCCAATCATGGCCATACACCGCACCCGAAAAACCAGAGCCCATGGCTACATTGCTGGTGGAAATGCCAGCCAGAAATCCCCAGCAGACCCATCGATCTTTCAGTTCGGCAAAATAGCTCGACACGAGTTCTGGTTTCACCGCTGTGATAGCTTGACGAATCGACCATGCAGCAGCTTGAAGGCCGGACGAGGACTCGGAGGACAGCAACGTGCCGAGATCAAGAGAGGCGGTGAGTTGATAGATGACATTCCCGACGTACGATGATGGGAGTCCGAGATGCCGTCGACCATCTGAGGGCATGAAGATTTGGCTGATGGTCGAGGGCGGAATATCAATGCCCTGTGTGCGACGGCTTCGGATGAGGAGCACGCTCCGCCATATGAGAGCAGCGAGCGCATCATGTGTGGAGATTCGAGAACCGTCGGGGGGAGTCGCGTCGGCTTTCAGTAGTGCTAAATTGGAGGCGGAGATACGGAGGAGGACTGGGATTTCTAAAGATTTGGCAGCGAAGGGGTGGTCTAGGTCTGGAGCTGCAGGAACTGATGAGATGTATGCTGGGTGATCGCGTATGTTGAACGGGATTTTGCTCGTTATGTTGCGCAAAAAAGCCCGGTCTACCCCTACTAGCTTCGGAGCACTATCAGTAGTAGCCATTGATCGTGCCTCGTCACTGGCATTCCGCGTCTCGTTGCCCAAAATACGCATCAGCTCATTCATGCCGCTGCCATCGGCTACAGAATGTGACGCGGCAAATGTGAGGATCGTACCGCCACCAATGGCGGTGAACTGCATCTTACATGCTGCAAAGGGACGGTCGTTTCCAAGGTCCTGTGGAACAGGCACAAGAAGGTTGTAAGGTAGCTGTTGAACTGGAAAGTTGCCCGCCTCAAGCTCCTGGAAAGAAGGCATGACTGCGCTGAGATCTCTCACAAGCAATTCTAAACCCTGTCCTGGTACGATAGTGCGCCAATCCTCCTTACCATCTTTGGCTTCGTCGGGAGGTAAAGGTGCGGTAGTACCGCCTAGGAAAGGGCATCGGGAGAGGAAAGCGTGCAAAGCAGTCTTCAGGGATGCGAGTTGGTCGTCTCGTTGTGCTATAGAATCGCAGCGGAAGAGCAGGAGGCGGCGGCTGTACACGACTGGATGGCGCGCGTCCTCGGGTGCGAGATCGATGTGGAATGATGGTCCACGGATTAGGACGTTATCGTCGAAGGAAGAAACCATGGTTGGGTTCGTGGTAGGAAGCAGAATACACAGGTTGCTGTCTTCGGCAGCCATTTTACGGTGACTCTGAGTCACTGGGCGTCACCTTCGCGGAGGCGCGTCGGATTACTTACCGCTTCCGAAGAGCATTTTCTGCGAGATTTCTACGGGCCCCTACACGAACTTGACTTGTGTTACCATCAGCTTAAAGGTATGATAACACCATTGTTCAATGCCACAGGGCGACAAGTTCGACGATTCTCCAAGTAGCACTAACTGGCTAAAGGGAAGCAAAGGTCAACGTTGATGTTAAGTGAATAAGCGAGCTCATCTCAGATCCCTCTGCCTGCCACATCCACTCGCCTTTGCGGGCCTCAATGTAAACGCCGAAATGGACGCGTGCCGAATATCTTCTCTACATGACAGATAGCGCACCTATCAGAACCGATGGACACACAACAAGCTATGATCCAATATGTACTAAGAAGTCCGCTGGCGAGTTTACCTCTCCCAGGAAGGCAGTACTAATACAGTGTTCTGAGGGCAGTGGTTGTAGGGAGGGAAAAAGTGTTGAAGTTCTAAGCTGGATGTTGATCTGTTAGGATCACGTGGATCATAATGTTTGTGTGACCTCTTTGTGACTTTTCCAGACATGGCTCAATGGTCTAGTAGTATGATTCGCGCTTCGGGATTTCCCCTGCCTCTCGGGCAGCTAGATGTGCGAGGTCCCGGGTTCAACTCCCGGTTGAGCCCTTTTTGTCACGTATAGAGTAGATACCGTGTGGCGCAAATTAATGTATTTATTGTCATGAAAAGGGTGGCGCAGTAAATCTCATGGGGGTCTTAGTAACCACAGCAATACCAACCCACCGAGACCGTTACGGTTTTTATACCGACCGGCTCGTGGATCAGATATGATATCAAGTTCCACATCGTTGCATCAACAGGTATTGCACAAAGAGGGTAAGTAAAATATGTTGTCTGCCAATGCGGTGATACTTCCACGGGTGTACTCAGAGTTTTCAGCCAAAGGTTCCGATTAATTGCTCACTATGTTCATCTACAAACCAGGGACATGTACTCCATGTTGCAGCCACCACATCTCATATACTCGAGCACAGGTCGCTCGATGGCGCACCCATGCATCACCCCAGTAGTATCCCCATCGCAAATTCAGTGCTGGTCCTACAGCTTCCTTACATCCTCGGCAAACTACACTGATCTTCGTCACGCTTCCCGGCTCGATCCATTCGTCCTTCTCAAGCGCAGCTTTCCTCTCCTCGTCTGTGGATCGTCGAGGCGGTGAGAAACCGAGTTTCCTTTGTTGAGAGATACTGGGGTAGAGCGAGAGGTAGAATCGGGTTGCGTGAGGGCGCGCCATGAACTCTCCTGGCACGTCATGCGTCATGATGGCAAGGTATTTCCGTGTGTAGTTGACTCTGAGAGCATGGAGGTCCTCGGCAGTGGGAGGGAAACGCGATGGACCTGCGTTCATCGGCGGCAATGTCAGAGCAGCACCAGAGGTGACAAGACCATTTCGAATACTAAAGGTCTCGTAGTTACTGCACAGTAATTGTTATTTCGAGACACGGTGAGATGAAATTTGATTATACCTGGCATATTCCTCGTCGTCCTCTGAGTATTCGCCATCTACCTCATCGTCTTCGGAGTATTCGCCGTCCTGTTCGTTGTCGGACATGGGAACGTCCAAAGGATCTGAATTCCATTCTCTACGACTGATACTAGAGGATGGGCCGCTAAGATCCACGGCACACGCCGGAAATACTGTGCTGTTGAAAACGTCAAATCGCGTAAACCAAGGCAGAAACCTAGTAACATACGTGTAGAAGTAGCTGTAGTTTGCATTCATTGGCATTGTGATGGAGGATTGAAGATTTCAGAGGAGTAGACTGAGATCCGACCCCAAGAAGATTTTCTTTTGTACAAGTGCGCATTGACCAAGACAAAGTCCATCCATCAAATAGGGCAATCAATTGTCCAGTAGAGAGTGCTGCGCGAGCTTTGTTGGGAGCCACTGATTGTTGTCGCCCAAGTTTTAAGTAGTCCACTGTCTAGTATTTGGAAGGCATCCATGCAAGTAAGCACGCTTGACGTTGGGGGGCAACGACGTAGAAGACCGGAGACCGTCCTAGTGAGAGACAAAAGCGTTATGGATTCATAGATAAGCGCAAGTCTCTCAGATGGACCATGAACATGCAGGTCGAGTTGAAGTCGAGGACAAGGACAACGAAGCGGATCAAAGTACAATGATTGAGTCGGTCCGATCCTGCCGGCCGCTTCTTTCGTTTGACTCCTGGGACTTTTGTGGGACTTTGTCGTCGCCAGCTTTTCTAGGCCTTTCCTCCAATGGCACCTGATTTCAAAGCCTCAAATCTGTTTTTGCCGATGCAAGACCTTGTGGAATTCTGGTCAGACCAAGTCAGGACAATGCGCAACAATGCCCAGAGACTCAATATCCTACCGCCCGATACGACAATAGGATGTTATACAGCAACTCTCTTTCCTCAATGTCAGATCTCGACCATCTTTACCGCGGATATTCAAATTTGCCCACCCGGGCTGGACCATATTATCAGCAATCGTGGGTCCACCATTCGTAACGATACGGCGCACTTGCGCTAGACAGCCCTGCAGCCGGAGGCCAGACATAGCGGAATGATAGTCATGTTGCAGCAAGTCAGAACTGGAACTTGACCGATAAATCTGGAAGTAGGTCGGCGAAGTCTGGAATAGTTCCAGATGGAGGTTCTGAACGTCACCGAACCCTGCAAAGCTACACTATTTATTGCCTCGCCGAGCGCTGCAATCCTTCATCGAAATCCCAATCTTATACTACAATGCCTATCCAAGCACCAGCACCAAAGCCCTCTTTCTCAAAGTTCTTCATGAAGAACTGGTTCGCCGTTGAGGTACGCGTTTTCCCTTGCCCTGAGTAGTATCATTCGTTGATAGACATTATAGGCTCTACCAATGTGCCTTTTCATTCTGAATTGGTCTACGATTCATCGAGCTGAAAGTATTGCTCTAGTGTCGTGATCGTAGGCGTCGTTGTAACTATGGGGACCTACGCTACCTGGCACGCCGCCAGAAGTCCAACAGGTCAGTATTATCTGCGGCTCTGTGATGTTCAGTGTTCTGAATATTTGCAGTTGTCTGGACCAAGGCCAACCCCACGCCATGGAACAACATACAACCCGACGAGGGCACGAAACTTATTGAAGTCAACCACAAGTTCGACAAGAAGTACGTGTTCAGATAGCCTTCGATCGTATTAGCACTAACGCGCTACGTCTTTTCAGATGGGTTCGGGACAGATTTTAATTCTAAAGCGAATATAATGTTGTATTTTTATCATGGTTATCCATCCTCTTTTTGTTAGTCCCTCAGGCCGCATGTTGGGCTTTGCCTTTTTACCTTCCGCAAACTATAACGGCCCCGTTTGCTTACTCTACGGCGCGATCCACTTCAACAACGTTGACTTCGAGCTCGTTTTGAGCCGAGGCAGTATGACGCATCTCTTGCATTTGGCTGCGCTGATCACGACCATTTAAGAGCGACAAGAGTTTTTCAAACCTGAGTACAACACGAACTCCCCTCTACTTCACACTATTGAATGATTTACAGGATTTGACAAAGGTAAAATCCTGTGGGGGGCATCAGATTTTGATTTTGAATGCCGCTCTATGAGAATCTTACCTCCAACTTTCCTGGCTCCTCGATCTCGAGGATCAAGTGGACTGGCAATTGAACGAATTCGCTGTATCATCAAACCCGACGGTACGCAAGTCGTTGACCGTCCCGACGATGACCTGGCTCCTTCCCGTGCAGCCTTCATCTCTACATCTGGACTCAACGGACGAACAGACACAACAACCGAGGATACTCACGCGAAAAGAGTACACTCTATGCCGTCCGCGGTCGATACGCTCGTTAGGGAATTCTGCTGTCCCGCAGCGACAAGATCGCCGCATCCGGTGGGCAAGACGGTCGACGTCCAGGAGTTGCAGAACCCCGTAAGATTAAGGTCATCACAGGTCGTGAGGATAAAGATCGCGTCGGGAGTGGGGACGATGCTGCTTCCACTGGACGCGATGGGAACAATGGCTTCTCCACGACTAGCGATCGACATCGCCAGTGCGGCGTCAAACAGGGCGAAGAATGTGGCGGTAAGCCTGAACATTTACTCAAGGCGAAGAGTTTTTGAGCTGTAACCTGCTGTATTCCCTGCTTGTTCGAGAACTTATATATGAAATGACCGTGTAAGAAACTTCTAATCCACCGTGTCCTTCGGATCCTTCACACCTGTAAGGTTCTTCGACACTCGCGTCTCCCAATTCGAGGTTTTCATTCCTGGCATGAGCTGTCATCTTTTTCCGACCTGTATCGGACATTGGCCGCCTATCATCAACACATACTAGAATAACCGTGAGTGTATACTACTCTTCCTGAGCTCTCTAGCCTTTGAGCCCTCAGTCGGTCCAAGAATCACGGCCATTTCTCTCTTGTACGCCGTATCTTCTTGGTCCAATGAGGTTGAACTAACGCAACACCACCAGTAAGTGGTTCCCACACTGCTATCTTAGGACGAGGGACGAGAGATGCTTAGCAGGAGTTCCATAGTCGCTGTACGAATGGATGTCAAACGTATTCAGAACCCGAGCTGCACGAGATCGATGGCCTGTCACGAACAGTCGGAAACATTCGAACGAGCTATGTATGGAGAATTGAAAAACAGGGGTAGAGAAATGAACCGACTGCAAGAGGCTTTCAGTCTGCAAGCTGAGAGCTCATCTTCCGGGTAGAGGTTTCAAGTAGCGGCTCATTCTAAACTTGAACGTTCCTGCGATACATTTCGAAGAGAGCTTTGCCATCCTGCAATGAAATCAAGAGATTGTGATTCAGGGTATATTTTAGAGCGACAAGGGGGATGGCGCGGGTAGGAGGAATTGGAGCGATGTTTCACGCCGACGCGTACGACACGTGATCCCGTGTCGATCTGCTTCCTGCCACCATCTCCGTTTCCGAGGACTCGCGAACCAAAGCTGCTGCTGGATCTCGCCGAGTCTGGATTTCTTTGCTGGTTCTTCGCCCGGAGAGTGGCGACAACGTATCATGGCGAAAACAGGAAAAAGGGAGAACGAGGCCACAGACGATAACGATGGACCAAGGATCGACTTAGAGAAAGTGGCGGGAAGGCCAGGACGACGAGCGACGCGTTCAACGGCGCCAAAGGGTGACCCACCGCTGAAAAGCGTGGACGACGCACGCTACCAGAAAGTGAGCGGCACAAGGCGAGATGGAGGGCTAGTGCCGGACAAGAAGGAGATGCTGGCCAAGATGGAGATGACGGATCCCACATCGCCAATAGCTGATTTTGAGGAGGAGCTCGACGGCGTGGACGACATCGAGCAGTTCGATGAGGACGACGAGGACGAGCTCGACGACGAGTGGAGCCACGTCAGCGCAGCCGAAGGCCGCGGAGCAGCGACTACAGCGAAGCGATCTGCGTCGGAAGCGTCTTCTCCGCCTGTCGCGGGGCCATCCACGCGTCCGAAACGCCGTGCGTCGGTCCATTTCGAGCCGACGTTGCTCCCGTCCCCACTTGGGAAGGACGTAGGAGACGAGGGTGGACTGTTCAAGCAGGACATCACAGAGGAGAACGAGGCGGCTGAAGCTCGCAGGAGACAGGTCGAACAAGATGGTGAGTAATTTTCAAGAGTTTGGAATTTCCA